GCCGCCGCTCCTCCGTGGCCTTTTTCGCTGTGTGCGACGGGCACGGCGGGCGGGAGGCGGCACAGTTCGCCCGGGAGCACTTGTGGGGTTTCATCAAGAAGCAGAAGGGCTTCACTTCGTCCGAGCCAGCCAAGGTTTGCGCTGCCATCCGGAAAGGCTTCCTCGCTTGTCACCTGGCCATGTGGAAGAAACTCGGTAAGTTCCTTGGCTTGTTTGACACCCGCAGCCTTTTTTCAGGCAGTTCGGAGCTTTTATGGCACCGGCACCGCATGTGTCCCTGACACCGAGAGCGAGATCAAAGTGTAAATTGGCAGAAGTGAAGACTTTGCGATCGAGTAGCGTTTTGCAGAGCGGAGGTCCAGGCTGACAAAGTGGCCTCGGGAGAGAGGATTGTCTCCCTGCTACTGCTCCTCTTTAATTCCGCTCTGCTCGGATCAATGGGAAGCGCTCCTCCCCTTGCTGCTTCACTTTGATGGCAGCTAGTGAGGAGGCGTTTGAAACCTGGCATCGGGCTTTAGCCACTGGATACATTGAAGCGGTGTTGCTACCTGTATCAGGCGAAGGAAGCGGGAGATGACAGAAGTCGGAGCGTTTCCTTAGACTCTGTCATAACTTTGCTCTTGAAGTGCTTACCCTGTCGGTTGCCTCCTATCGGTGGTGTCATTTCTCCCAATTGATCCGGCAAGGTTCGTTATTGAGTAAAGTGTAAACTAATTAAGAAGGGCTGAAATGTAATCACCCAGCAACTTAAAGTCTTGGGAAGGAATTCTGTTGTGATCATAAGATGTTTTAGGATCATAGGATCATAAGCTCTTACTGCTAGGAAAACTGAAAGTGCAGAACATATTGTTAACTTTTAAACTGGCCTCTTATTAAGGACCTTGGGTTAAATTCTGCTGGGGCTTTTTTTTTCTCCTCCTTACCTATGTGCTTTAAGATAGTTTTCAGTTGTTGCCAGTTAAAAGTACTTGTGTGTTGTAAATGCCTATCAAAGTAGGAAAAGTTAAAGAGTTATTACTGTATGCCAAAAGAAAGAAGATAGAGACTTTGGTTCCTAAAAATTCAGTGGAGTCGTATTTTGTAGTTGTATTTTTATCTAAGTTCTGAATGTTTTGTAAAGCATCGATACATTTTCATGTAGGAATAGTAATCTATTTTCCTGTAGGAATAGTAATCTATTGCTGTGAGTAAAGGCTTGCATCTTTGTTAGAGAAAACACTAAAAAAACACTTCTTGTTTATGGTAGCATAATAAAGCTGTTTTCAAAACCCTCTTGTTTATGGTAGCTTAATAAAGCTGTTTTCAACAGAGGGACAGAAACACAAAAGTTAAAGACTGTCAAATACAGAACATTTTTAGAAAGATATTTTCATAGAGTCGTAGACTAGCTGGTTTTCAAAGTCTGTTTTCTATTTGCTTGGCATTCTTCCAACAGTTATTTGATTGACTCAAAGTCTAGCCAGTAGGCCAGTTGGAGGTGGTGCCCATCCAATCCCAGGGGCCCCTATTATGGATTTATTTTGTTTTTGTGTAGGCAGGGAGGACTGAAAGCACTGTCGTATATTCTAGAAGTACGTCATATCATTGGCTGAAGGGCAAGTAGAAATGGACAAGGCAGCAAGACCGAGGAAAATTAGACACAAAGAACTGCTTAGAATCCTGTTTATTTTCAGGATACTTGGAGCAGGGCAAATTTGCCATATGTTTAAGGAGTTATAAAAAAACTTTTAGAATTAAAACCTTGTTACATGAGTGTTTTTTTTTTTTTAATAAAGCAGGAACCATGTGTTAAATACAAATGTGTAAGATTTTTTTACACATACATACTACTTGAATCAAGTTTTCATTCCTCAGATGCAGTTTAGAGCCTTTATATTCCAGGCAAATGTTAAAATCCTTTGTACCACAGCTAAATTTCAGGCTCTGTCCTCAAAATGTGAATTAAAAAAGAGTATGCTGAGGGACCAGCAGTTAGCGTAATGGCTATGTCGCAGGACTCCCATGTAGTCAACTGTGGTTCGAGTCCTGGACCAGGTGGCTTAAACTCACGCCAGGCACGAGTTTAAGATCCCGAGAGGAGAGTGAAGGAGAAGGAATTGTGGTGTGGCCATTCCCCCCTGGGGGGTGATTTCTCTCTTTCTGCCTCTCTGTCTCTTTCTGGCAAGCACACGCGCCCTATAGCAAAAACCTCTCCAAAAAAAGAAAAAAAAAGGATTATGCTGAATGGCAGTTTTGATACGGGAAATACAGGTCTTAGAAAAATTTATTTTGGCCCAAATGTATAGATGGATGGCTCAATTTTTAGTGAAAATAAAGTTAAACTCTATAGTTTGTAACTTATATGATAAAACTTTTCTGGTCCAAATTTAGCTTTCCATATTCTTCAACTATATGTTACCCACTTTTTTTTTCTTGAGTTTTTTTTTTGTTTTGTTTTGTTTGGGGGGGGTGGGGGCACACATGCACTTGCCAGACAGATAGAAAGCGAGAAATCACCCCTTGGGGAAAGGCCATGCCTCAGTCTGTTCTCTGTTCGCCTCTTGGGATCTTGGGTACACAGGCCTGGCGTGAGTTTTAAGCCTCTGGGTCCAGGACTCAAACCTAGGTCAACTACATGAGAATCCAGTGATGTAACCATTACACCAGTGGCTGGTGTCCTCCCCCCACCCCCACTTTTTTTTTTTTGAGAGAGATTTTTGCTCTAGGGCTAAGAGACAAAGAGAAAGAAAATGAGAACTCCCCCCCCCCGGGGGGGGTTGGTCACACAGCAATCCCTTCTCTGTTCTCCTCCCAGGATTTTGGGCACAGGCACACATGCACCTGGCAGTTTTAAGCCTCTGGGTCCAGGACTCGAACTGCAGTCAACTACATAGGAGTCCAGTGATGTAACTAGTACACCATCTCTTGGTCCCAGTTACACACTTTTCTATCACATTTTAGTCTCATCTTTTTTCTACGACACACCGAATAATCCATTTTCTTGGATTCCCTTCCCCTAAAAAGAAAACTTAAAAAAAGTATATTAATTATACATACTCCCAAGTCAGTTGTTTCTTCTTTGAAGACGTATTTTTCTTAGAACTTGAACATGTTTGTTCCTACTTTTGTAGTTCTCATTGAGTTACAGCAGTAGCTTTCATACTACTTGTTTTCAGGACGTTTCGTACTCTTGACATTGTAGAGGTTCCAGGGAGCTTTGTTTATGTACCTGGCATCTACCTGTATTTACTATGAAGAATGTAAACTAAGAATTAAAACTCTACTTAAAAACACTAAATCATAATATGTTAATTTTTAAATGAACTATTTTTCCCAAAATAAGAAATACTGGTGGTAAGAGTGCCATTGTTTTACATTTTGGAAATAACTAGTTTAATATAATACAACTGGCGGCTGGTCCAGCACGTGGCATGTTGGTTAAAAGTGTTGAACTCCCACATGGCTGACCGTGGTTGGATTCCTGGACCTGGCGGCTTATTTTCTCACTTTCCCTCTTTCACTCTTAAACCCCTGATCAAATTAAAAGGAATAAAGATAAATTTTAAAAATTAAAAAAAAAAAAACAAAAAACTGGGCCAACCAGCAGCTGATATCATGGTTACGTCACCGGATTCCTACATGGTCAACTGAGAGAGAGAGAGAAGGGGGAAGTAAGAAAGCAAGCTGCTAAGTCAGGGACTCAAATCATGGTCAGCCATGTGGGAGTCTAGCACCTCAACCACCACACCACTTACTGGTCCCATGAATTACAAATTTGTAATTAGCACTGATACTGTCAGTTTTTTTGTCTTAAACTGAAAAGCTTGCCTTTATTCATTTTGAGGAAAATTTACACCAAATCCCCAAGTCTTATTAACATAGTTTATTAGTCTTTTGAGTAAAAATAATGGTCCCTAGCATACGGCATAAAGATTACATCGCTGGACTCCCATATGGTCGTCCGCAGTTCGAGTCCTAGACCTAGATCTTGAAAACACCCTGGAAGTGTATGCCTGTGTGCCCAAAATCCCTAGAGGAGACTGGAAGAGAACAAATTGTGGTATGGCTGTCTCCCCTGGGCGTGAGTTCTCGCTTTCTGCCTCTTTGTTTCTGTCTGGCAGAAGCACACGCCCTATAGCAAAAATCTCTAAAAATAAATAATGGTCTATGAAAAATGTGGGTAGTTTGTTTAAGGACTTGGATATCACAAACCTTTCCATTATGTGTACTCTTCTTTTTGTCACACAGAATACTAAAAAGATGTGTATTTATGAGTTGGATTGATAAAATGAACCTACCTGTATCATCAAGACATTTCCTTTTTTTTTTTGGAGAGGTTTTCGCTATAGGGCGCGTGCGCTTGCCAGACAGACAGAGAGAGACATAGAGACAGAAAGCGAGAAATCACCCCCCAGGGGGGATGATCACGCCGCAATCCCT